TATTGGTTTGCCTGCCGTGCCAAAATTCAGTAATGATAAATGAACAATACTTATTTTTCATAAAATAAATGTATCAATCCTGAATTGTATTTTTTTTGCAGTTTTTTCTATCTGATGTTGGTGTGATGTGGAACTCTTTGGGGACCTCATATTGTTTTGGTAAGTACATTTAACAAACAAACTCTTCACAGGTATGCTGATCCCAGCAGTACTGCTCAGGTTAAATACTCTAATGCTGTGGTATATTTGCTCTCTATAGGGCAGTAATCGCTGACAGCAAAGTAAATCTGCCACTGATCATATGTAGGCATTCAACAACTTTTGTGCAAACGGTTTTAGTCCTCTTTAGTCGGTGAGGTAAGCATTTGCTACCTATTTTCCCCAATGTGCGGCTTGTCTTTGTACAATCTTAGCGTGTAACTGCTGTAACCTAAATATTGACAATACATTTGAAAGAAAAGTATATCCCACCTAGTGATTGATTATTCTTATAGCTCTGTTTTTGGTCACTACCAAGAAAAATGTCTGGCTCTTAAGTTCCTGCATATTCCACTTTTTTCACCAGCTTGTCAGCTCTTTGATTGTCTGAAGGAAAGCCTACTCTTGCAATTACCCACGATTAATAGGAATGTGTCTGGCTAGAACACACTGTGGACCAACCAGTACACATGCTATCAAAGACAGTCTTTGTTAATCAGGAGTTCAAAACTAGAATTTTGTCAAGGATGCGTGGGGGAGGCAGGACTCAAACGCAGACTTCTCCGGAAACAAAATACTTTAATAGTCGAAAAGGGAAAATCAAAGGGCCAAGGGGCAAAAACACACAGGCAAGAAACTACGGACATCCACGACAATAGACAATGACGCGACAAGTGACACAAGAGACACACGGCTTAAATACACAAGGGAGGTGCAGGTGATTGGACACAGGTGGAAACTATTAGACGATCACAGGGGATGACAGGACAAGGCAGGAAGTGAAGTTACCCGGGGACACGAGTGGCAGAAAACTACAAAATACAACAGGAAGTGAACCACACCGTGACAAGGTGACCAGGAACCCGATGGTCACTCTGACGGACCTCCAGCGTTGTTCTATGAAGAGAGGAGAACCTTCCAGAAGGACAACCATCTCTGCAGCACTCCACACATCAGGCCTGTTTGGTAGAGAGGACAGACGGAAGCCACTCCTCAGTAAAAAGCACATGACAGCCCGCCTGGAGGACTCTCAGACCATGAGAAACTAAATTCTCTGGTCTGATGAAACAAGGATTGAACTCCAAGATAGTGGGAGCCTGGTAGCAGGTTACCTAGTTTCTAATAAACACCACAAAGCTTGTGTGTTTTCACAGAGCGGATTGCAGGTCTCAGTCATCCACATACAGAGGCAGTGATCCCTGTCACTCCTCTGTATTTAGGAAGCTCTTTTCCTTTAACGCAAACCATCTTTGGGACCTGAATTCAAGACCGGTTGTACGTCCTGCTGTCCTCTATGATTTTCAATAACCTTTTTAAGAATGGAAAGAATCAAGAATACTTGCTGAAAGGATTTCAACAGTGGAGTATGATGAAAGGTGTGTTTCTTCTTTTGATCAAGTATGTAAGTAACTGGTTCCACAACACAGAATTTTTTCTTATATAGTTTACGTTGACATGAAGTACTGAGTGCTGCCTTTTTAATTGCTTTTGAAACCAGGTTACATCACAGCTCATTTTATCCATTGCATTTTTAACTCATGGCTTTTTACATTAATGCCTGGGAGGCCATTAGGGGTCAGGTGTCTTTCTCAGGGAGACCTCAACATGGAACATGGAGCAGCCGGGGCTCAAACCGACACCCTTGCGGGTCCCGGCACGCCCTCTGTACCCATGCGCCACCGCCGATGAGCTCACTGCTGGGCGGATTTCTGTCACCAAGGAGTCATCAACTTGTCGGCTTAAGGATATCAGTCACAACACCTCTAGATAGTGTGACGGATGCTGAGTTTATCAAGTAGTAAAGTTCATTAGTGTCTATAGCTGTCAGCCTGGCACGTGGACTAAACTCCAACTTCACCAAGGTTGCTGTCAAGCGGCTACGGTGCAGATGCTACTGCAGCTCTCACAATAAAACATCTGCTAATGTGTGAGGTGTGTGTTCTCTTCAGATGCGTATTCATATGAGCAAAAAACTCCCTTTCATTAGAGTCAAATGTACTTTGGTGTATGATTAGAGCGTTCCATGTAATGAATGCACAG